ATTATCAAAACAGTTCATGATATTTATAATATTGCAAAGCTTATTTATCCTGAATTGATTTGATCTGATCCAATCCGATTTGATATGTATAAATTGCAGTAATTTGATCTTTTAGAATTTTTTGCTTATTATAAATACTAGAAAGACAACTTTTATTCGTGCAAACTGTAAAATAATTACTTCTATGAAAGCAGAATCAGGTTCTAACTCAAAAGGATGATTGATTAGTTTTTGATTCCATGTAATAGTTGTCCGTATAGGTAAATCACTTATATATGGGTAATATATTGAATGCCACGTGTAATCACACGTTAAAGATGCTTCTTCAGTGCGTAAGAAATTAACCCAACCCTAGACTAAACAAAATTAGATTTCTTTTCAGCAAAAGAAATCAAAAAGTTTTAATAATAAAATACATAATATTCATATTAAAAATTAAATAGCAATTATACTTACTCCTTCTGGCTTAGAAAATTTCTGCGCATCCAGATTATTCATATAATAATATGAATTATTATAAAGTGTATGAATGAGTGGTGATAGCGTACTTTGTTGTGGCACGTGAAATTTGATCACAAGCTTATCATTACTTGCAATTTTAATATTGCATTTACTGATTTTTGGACAAAAATCAGTATTATTCAAATTGGAACTGATTGTTAATTGTTTTGCGACCAAAGCAATTAAAAAATTATTCATCGGATTGCTTAAATAACAAAGATTCATTAATAATATTCGTGAAAATTTGAATAATTTAGCAAATATTCACATTTTCGAAACAAATATGATTCGTAAATAATATTCGTAAAAATTTGAATAAATTAGCAAATATTCAAATTTTCGAAATAAATATAAGCAAGAATGCAAATTTTGCTCATTTTAATGAAAAATAATTCAAAAAATTTCAAATTATTGCATACTTTCGAAGAGAAATGCAAATTTTTAACTCTAATTAAAGTTAGAAACTGCACTTTTTGAATTTTCTAATATTGCATTAATTATATACCAGTTACACATGAATTAAATCATTAATATTTGATTTAAAAGCTAATTTAAGGAATTAAGCTAGCAATTAGCTGTTGGCGCTCGTTACTGTACTCTTAATCAAAGTTATCATATCATAATGTTAACGGTTTAAAATGTTTTAAAAAATAAAATTGCAAATAATTTAGCGTAATAAGTAATATCTCAACTTTTAACACTCATTCAATTATTATCATTAACATTATCAGTATCACTAAGAAGTGGCTGACTAACCTAGCATCTACCCAATTCTTGTCATTCGTTACAAAAGCTACTGTCATGTCATTGAATATCATTCGTATATCCCAAATTTGTGGCACAAACTCTGCCAAGTCAATTTCATTATACATCGTTGTTTCACGTAATAAATCCTGACGTAAAATCATGCTTTACATAATTGCCTAACCTTTAGATAGTTTAATGAAATAAAAATGAAAGAAATACCTCAAAAAAAACCACGTGATCCCAGACGAACCACGTGGTAGCACTATTTATTTTGAACAGAATCACACGATTTTGTAATTGACCATATCTGAGAGGAAAATGCATATCGTATTCCATTGTTAGCTCTTCGCATGAAAACAATTTTCTGAACGCAGATGTTGGCAAAAAGTGTACATCTTTCATTATTAGTTTCGATGTCGTTTTGTATCCTTGATCAGTAATAATCATCGGATATTCTATCTTTAAATTTTTTTATATTACCATTTCATATCTTTGACTGATTGAAAAAAAACTGATCCAACCAATCAATAAAACAACCAGTAAATCCAGGCCTTTTATTGACTTACTGCACCGGATTAAAATTGCAAATAATGTTTTTTTTAAGAATCTAGAAACTTTATCGATTAACCATAATTGATTTAGTAATTGTTATAAATATATATTTTATGCGCTTTATTAAAAAGCCTGATTTTAATATTTGCGCAAAAAGTCACTAAATTTTTAACTAATCAAGACAATAAGTCAATGGGTTTGCTAAATCACAGAAAATAATTCATACTAATTGGCAGAATTTCCAAAAAATCTTTTAAATTTTTAGATCAATTCACTACTTCATTCAATTACTAATTACTGAATCAATTTGTAAGCTTCGTTGATTCTATCAGCAATATAACTTAATGAACGCAACTGATTAACTAGCTATGTTAATTGAAGAATACTCAAATTCTACTGATTACAAGAGAGTATTCAATTAATTTTCATAATTTTTGATGTCATAAAAACTGATGGTAATTAACTTTAATGCTTAATTATGAATAATAACTTTTGTTTGTGATGATGAATTTGAAAAGATATACTTTAAGAGAGCAGCCATTTTTAATAGTAGTAGCAACGGCATTGAGCTCGTCACGTCGCATGAACCAAAAATTAATTGACGTCTGAGCTTTCGTTGTTAGCGTTATGTCTATTGCAGCGAGAATTTTCTTTTCACCATTTTTAGGTAAAACACTAATAAAATAATTAATTAATTAACCAATTAATTAATTAATCATTTAATTATTTAATTAACTTTTTTCTTCAGAATTTGATAAATGAAAAATTAGTAATTAGTCATTATTTTAAATTAGCAGCATTTTAATCAAACATATTAATAAGAATTTTCTTCTGATAATTTTGATTGAATTGAACCCTAATGTAAACATTAATCAATATTTACATGTAAAATTATTCAATTATCAAAATTTTAAATAATTGTTGTTGACAACAAATCTTATCAAAATAGCACTCTAACCAAGAATGATAACCAAAAAAAATAACTGAGATAACCAAGATAATCACTATGACCAAAATTGATTTTTTAACACACAAATCTTTTACGTAAAGTATGATCAAAGCAAATAATTTTTGATGTACGTACGTAGGTGTCATAGCAGAATAATCGGTAGGGAAGAAGTAATTGATGAATGCTAGACGGCAAGATTCAGCCCATGGACCATACGCAATTCTAACGTTTTCACCCAAATCAATATTGAGATCACAAATTGGTTCAGTTTTTGTATTCACTGAATGATCAAAAAATTATGACTGATATTAAACTACTGCTGAATGATAATTAAAGTAATTATGAATATTAATTATCTAGATGCATACAACGATATACCTTAAAATGACATTCGGATAGTTCAGTTTATAAACATCAAAGTATATTGATAAGTAAATGAAACTTGACCAACCAAAAACGCTTTGACGGTATACAACCCGCAGATTCGGATTCTGAAGCACTGCAAAGCCACTTCCCATAGTTCGCGGAGCATCATAGCGTTTCCACAAATTTGCAACGGATGTTTCATCGTATTCATCATTCTTATTCAACGAAAGCATAAATTTTGAACTTTTCAATGTATATATTAATAAGGTATCGTTTGGGATCTCTTGCAGATGTCCAGTCACTACAAATTATATTTTATTCACATAAACTTGACGTTATTATATGAGATTACATATTTCATTCTAATTTTTAGAGAAGCAAAATGTTAATATAAAAATGATTTATATAAACATGTATGTTAGATATCACGCTAAAATTAAACAGTGATATTGAAGAATCAATTCTGACTAGTACTTAAGTAAAAACTAAACGTAAGAGTGATTTTTACGTGAGATTCAACAAAAATCAATATCTGAAATTGTCAGATTAGTACTTTAATAACTTAAAAATAGGTATCTAACTTTATGAGAAAATATTTGTAAATGATAGAGCTTAACTGATAGAACTAAGAAGCAGGTAAACTTGAGGTATTAACTTTTTGACGTTTAATTTATTATTAATTCCACTACAAAGTATGCGCACAAGACTTTTTTTTGGAACTGACGCAAAAGTTCATGCTTTTAATTATTAATTCTACGTGGAAGTTTCAAGTAGTATTCATAGAAGTTTGTAACGACGTAAATGTGATCAATGTCTTAACTTAGAAACTCGGAAACTATTTTCCGTGAAAATAAGTTTTTATAAGACTCATTTAAAAGATTTTATGTTTTTTCCACGTAGAGTAACTAACGTAGAGTTTTGTTAGAAGAAATGACAATTGTAGTCGGAAGCAAACGATTTCCAATACAAATATTTATATTTTTTATATGTATGCGTACACTGCCAACAAACGTCCAAAAATTCTTCACAAATTTGTCTTTTTTTTCTGCAATTTGACAAACTTTTAATTCCAGTACTACTATTTTTAATTATCATTCTTATTTATTCTTTGTATTATTGCTATTTCTAATAATTATTCTGCAGTTATTGTCTTTCATTATTTGAATAGTGGAGACACCAATCAAATTTAATTAATTTCATACTGAAATACCAATTTTTCTTCGTAGATTCATTGCAACAAATAATCTCACTATAAGTTTATAATCATAAAATTTAAATTTTAAAAACCAAAAAATTTGAAAGGTCAAAGGGCAGCCATAGGAAAAGGAAAAACTGAAGATATTGACAGTGTCGAAGGCGTTAGTTTTTTTCTGCATTGCAGAGACGGAATTT